TCGGCTGACTATATCATATAGCAGCCATATAACTGAACGATCAGAATTATCCTAACTTTTGTGTTTTTGAAGATAGAAAGCTGGAACTTAGTACAGATTATTTTTTTTTGGTTTTAACTGGAAGGGTATATAAATTAACAAAGAGGAATCCATTTAGGATTCTTTTAAGACGCGATTTAATTTTGCGAATGAGAAGACTTTGTAACTGTGAGGTTTGCCCGTCACCGTTTATTTCCAAAATCCGACTAACTTTATTATTTATTTTATTTCCACTAATCCGGCTAAGTACATTAATTCTTATAACGGAAGCTAGCCCTATGCCGTAAAAGTGCTGACCCGGCTGCCCATGCATAGTGTTGGGTGGCCGCCGTTGCATCGGAGTGCATTGCCCGCTGATTGCGCTGACCGAAGCCCGGGATTTCGGCAACGTCGATGTGCAACGTCTGCAGGTGTCGCTAGCCTTGCATTATTTTATGCTGTGAAGCATTATCAGCCTGGGAACTTCCGTTTTGCTTGGAGACCGTGTTAACTTATAAACTTCGGCTGCGCCCAAAGTTAGCTTTCCTTTCTTATTTTTGGATATATTTATTTGATTTATTTACTTAATATATATTTACCTTGGATTGCCATGTATTTCATCAGGCATATTGGAGACAACTATCTGTTGATGAGTCGCATCTGATGCGCAAGTTTGCGTCACATCAGTCTCACTCTGACTCATTTTGCCCGTAACTTAATTGTTCACCAACACACACTGAATTTCCTCTAAATAGTTACTCAATAAAGAAAAATTAATAGCCGTAATACGTATATTCCTTCGATTTAGCGATATTGTTAAAAACTATTAAGAATATCGCTTCGTTCAGTGCGAATCACAGGTCAACGCAATATCCCAACCTCGTTTCACACTTACTGAACGGCTGATGCGCGGCGTGGGTAGTTTGCTATAGAGAAAGCAGGAGAGAAAGAAAGGCATTCGAGAGAGAAGGGGAGAGACGGCGTGACTCGTTGGCTCTCTCACATCGTTCAGCGCTTGCGATGCAAGAGAGCGACAGAGAGAGCGAATAGGCGAGAGTGGGAAGGAGCGACATTTGACGGTTTTTGGTAACGCTCCGAACTTAGTGTTTCACTCGCCTATTTTCAATCTGCCTTGGGGCCCCCGACACGCCTTTAGAAGTTTCACTTCAAAAAGGGAAAAGTCTGACGCTGCAAACCACAGAGGCATCTCTTAGTTGTCGGCAATTCCAAAGTGATTTGAACAATGAATAACTACTTATTTGCAACACCTTTGCTCTTCGATCATCTCTCCATTTCAGCATGGCTTCATTCAGCGTTGCTCGACCACCACTAATTTACTGGAGTTGACATCCTTTGATGTCAAAAAACTGATGTTATTAACACAGACTTCCGTAAAGCATTTGATTCAGTCAATAGTTCACTCTTGTTGAGTAAACTGAATATGCTGGGATTTCTTACAGACCTCCTAACGTAGATCTCCAGCTACTTAGATCGAAGAACACAAGGAGTCTGATTTATTCCTCGTACACGCACATGGGTCTGGCCAGGCATATTTCGAATTTCAACGTTAATTTAATTTATTCCAAATTAAGATATCGAAAATTGCTTCCAGGTTATCTCCACAAATTCTATTGGCTTCCGATATGTGCATTTTATAATTGAAAAAAGTCCTTAAAACAGGACAAAAAAAAAAGATTTTAAATCCGCACCTTTCTACACGAACTTGGTGCCTGGCCAGACCCCTATGTATTTTGTATGGAAACATACGGATTTTATTGCTTATTCTTTTATTTCTCTTTCTTGTTTTGTTTTAATTTGTAAGTCATTTTTCGATAAAGCTCTGAACAGAAAACCACTACTGACAGAGCTGAAAAACTTTTTTCGCTGCAATTTTTCGTTTGCTTGTTTCATTTTTGTCAATCATGAGGGATGAAGTGGAATTAGTTTCTAATATGCGGTCGCGTTACAAAAATCAAAGTACGGATTTTCACGCACGTTTATCTGCGGCGTCGAAAAACTCGCTTTACTGCTGTAAATGTATGAATCCGATGTGTCAACCACATTCGAAAATCGAATATATATGCTTCGCATGCCTTCCCCAGGAGACATGAAGAAATTCGATGTTAGGTTTAACTACAAAATTCATTACTATTCCATTTCTTTTGTATTAAAAACTTTGTTTTGGCTCATAATAAATGATAAAAAAGGTCGAAAGAAAAAGTTGTTTTCTTTCACATTCTGGATATTTTTGCAAGTTTATTTTTCCTCACATAGATACTATTATCTTAGTCGAAATGCAGGCCGTGCAGACCGGCAGCATCCCGAACAGCACGGGCCCCTGGAGTGCACACCGGAAAATTACTGCGAGGGGCTCGGGGGGCCAAAGTAGCAATGGCCAACACGGCGGCAAGGCCCAAGACAGCTGTTGCAAACCCGGCTGCTGGCAAAGGAAGCGACGGCGAAGCAAGCAGGAGAACGTCTGAATGGACGAAGGCCAAGCCTAGAAATCCCGAGAGGAGACGAGCCAGACCCGACGCCATAGTTATCCAAGCAGCAGGCTTGACGTACAGCCAGATCCTAAGCATGGTAACTCGCAGGGAGGACGGGAAGCTAAACGACCTTGGCCCATGCGTCAAGAAAGTGAGGAAGACAGCCAAGGGCGGGCTGCTACTGGAATTGGCCAGGAAGAAGGAGAACTCCACACAGGCCCTTAAAGGTTGCATCGAGGAGGTCCTAGGGAGCAAGGCAGAGGTCCGTGCGTACTCGCAGGAGACCAAGGAGTCGCTCGTCGAGCTACGAGGACTCGACGCACTAGCCACTTCGGAAGTCATCATCGGGGCTTTCGCGCAGCAGGCAGCGGTGGACCAAGGCGCCTTGAAAGTCAAGAAGCTGAGAAGCAGTTAAGGCGAGACGCAGACCACTATCGTGGCTTTCCCCGCGAGCCTTGCCATGGCCATTATTGCTGTGGGAAAGTTGAAGGTTGGGTGGTATGCCATATGAAGGAAAAGGAGGTCGTGGCTCGCTGCTACAGGTGCCTTGGGATGGGGCACATCGCAAGCGCTTGCAAAAGCTCGAAGGACAGGAGCGGCTGTTGCTTCCGCTGCGGAGACACGGACCATAGGGCGGCCACCTGTAAAAAGGACCCTCGATGCTTCTTGTGTGAAGATAATGGCCGGAAGGATGTGAGGCATCAGACTGGAAGCAGAAGTTGCCCCATGTCAGCGAAAGGAGGTGGACCTAGGACGACAGGATGCTAGTGCTTCAGCTGAACCTGAACCACTGTAGGGCGGCTCAAGATGTGCTGTCACAGACTGCGAGGTAGACGAAGGCGGACATAGCGCTCTTAAGCGAGCCCCATAGGACTGGCTCAGACAACCGCTGGGCAGTTGACCTATCGGGGAAGGTTGCCATCTGGAGCTGCGGCGCAACCGGCGCGACAGTGCACTCAATGCACAGTGCGGAGGGATTCGTAAGGGCTCGGATAGGTGGGGCATGGCTTTACAGCTGCTACATGGCACCTAGCCTAACCACCAATGAGTTTGAGCGCATGATGGACTGCCTAAGAAATGATATCAGAAGCCGTTCTGACGTCCTTGTAGCAGGGGACTTCAACGCATGGGTGCAGGAGTGGGGCCGCGCGAGGACGAATGCGAGAGGGAAAGTGGTCAGAAACCTTTGCCTCACTCGATCTCGTACTGCTGAACGAAGGAAACCAGCACACCTTCAGCAGAGCCGGAGCCGGTTCCATCATAGACCTGACGTTCGCAAGCCCCTCGCTAGCGACTGGCGCTAACTGGAGGATAAGCCGCAGTTTTACGGCCAGCGACCACGAAGCAATATTGTGCTCAATTGGTAGCCCTCAAGAACGACCGAGGGATCTGAATCCACGAGGCTACAGAGTCGGCACGCTCCAGGCGAGGAACTTCACCGAGGCAGCGCGCGACATCGGCAACGTCTTACCAAGCGGAGCCAACGAAATGGCTGATACCCTGGCTGCTAAGCTGGAGGCAGCGTGCATGGCGAGCATGCAGGGGAGAAGCCGCTACCGAGATTGGCTCCATTCGAGCTGAATGCATAAGAGCAAGGAGGCTTATGCAGCGAGCGAGAGGCAGCGACGCCTTTGAGGAGCGGCATCAAGCCTTCAAGGACCGACGCTAAGCATTGAAGGTGGCCATCCGAGACAGCAAAAGGAAATGCTTCCTGGAGCTATGCGACTCGGCGGAGAAAAATCCATGGGCCAACGCGTACCGGATAGTGGTGAAGAGGCTGCGCGCACGAAGCCAGTCCCCCACGGACCCAAAGTACTAAGGACCATAGTGCAGGCACTGTTCCCAGCCGGCAACCAGGTCACCCAGCTTCCCACCCCCCCAGCAGTCAATGAAGCTGCTGAGGAGGTAACGGAAGAGAAAGTTCTGGCCATTGGGAGAGTCCTGGCCCCGAACAAAGCACCCGGCCCGGATTCGGTTCCTAACCGAGCCCTGAAGCTGGCTCTAGCTCTGCAGCCGGGCAGCTTTGCGGAGCTCTACAATAAATGTACCCGCGAAGGCACTTTTTCCACCAGGTGGAAGGTACAGAAGCTCCTGCTGCTCCTCAAACCAAGGGAGGAGGCGTCGTTCTATAGGTCAATCTGCCTGCTTTGTGTCCAGCAGGTCTTCGAGAGGGTGATCGCGACGAGGCTCGAAGCTGCCATAGGTGGAAAGGTGGCTCCAAGCAATACTGCCTGATAGTCACCCTGGACATCAGCAACGCCTTCAACACGGCGGACTGGGGCAAAACACTGGCAGCCCTAAGGCGGTTCAACGTTCCCAGTGCCTTAATGAACGTCGTCAGTAGCTACATTAGCTGCAGAGGGCTACTGGTCGACACGGACATGGGCACGGAGTCCTTCGACGTTCCGGCGGGTGTCCCCAAGGATTGGTCCTAGGACCGCTGCTGTGGAACGCCATATTTGACGGGATCCTGAGACTGCAGCTCCCAGCGGGATGCACAGGGAGGAAGCGGAGAGAGCGGCGAACAAGGCAATCGAGGCAATGGAGATGTGGCTCCAAAATGCCGGTCTAAGCCTAGCCCCGCAAAAGACCGAAGCGGTACTGGTCAGCAGCTGCAAGGTGCTGGAAGCGGCGACAATCCGGGTTGGTGGAATGGCCATAACCTCCCAGCGGGCCATAAAATATCTTGGTGTGATGATCGACGCCCGGCTCTCCTTCCGCTAGCACCTTTATTATATCCAGGGCAAGGCTGCAGCCACTATCAGGGGCCTCGCCAGGATCCTTCTAAACAGCAGAGGCCCCAAGCAGAACAGGAGAAGGTTCCTCGTGAGTGTTGCCTCGGCGCAAATTTTGTATGCAGCGCCCATCTGGGCTGAGGCGATGAATACGCCCAGCTACAGGAGAGGGGTAGATGCAGTTTAAAGGCTGGGTGCTATAAGAGTCGCGTCCGGCTTCAAGACAGTCTCCGACGGCGCCATTCTGGTCATTGCTGGGATGGTTCCGCTGAAGGAGCGCGCTCGAGAGCTCAAGGAGCTTAAGGAAACCCGTGCTAGCAATGAGGGTGCCGGCGGCACCCCCAATACAGCTGCAAGGGAGGACGCCAAGGAGAGGTCGCTCACAGCCTGGCAGGATTGCTGGGACGCGTCGACGAAGGGAAGATGGACTCACACCCTCATTCCTAACCTTAGAAGGTGGGTGCTGCGAAGCCACGGGCAGGTCGTCTTTTACCTGACCCAGGTCTTGAGTGGACATGGCTGCTTCGGGCCATACCTGAAGCGTTTTGGCCACGCGGAGGATGACTGGTGAGGGGAGAGTGAGGGGTGACCGGAGTGAGGGAGATCGATAGTCGAGGACGCCAGGCACGTTGTCTTTGAGTGCCACCGGGACGCAGTAGCGTCCAGAGATGCTCTGGGACGCAGTAGCATCTTTTGTTGCAGGGTTAATGCAGAGGCTCAGGAGCATCGAGCAGGAGAGGTGGTAGGGTGGAGAGTTGGGGCCTGTGGCGGGCGAAGCAATGCCTAGCGGTCGTCCCGCCCGTTCTCAAGCCCCCACTATCCATCATCCACACACAACCACTTATTTTGATTTTACAAATGTATCCCTGATTTTATAAATAGATGGACAAAATAATTTAAAGACCCCTACATTACGAAAAGCTTATTCATTCCATTGGTCCGTCCGATACTGGAGTCTGGTGTCCACAATATGGAGTACATCAGGACCGCATAGAATTTCTTAAGAATTTCTTAACATTTTCACTTAGAGAAATTTTAAGCTTTTAAGCATAACTTGGCTCCCGATAAATCTCAAGACTTCGAGCAGTGATCCTGTGCCTTCGGACACGACATAAACGCAAGTAACATACGCCTCAATGCTGGTGTCACAGAATTCATGGATCTCTACCTCGAGTTGCGGTCTTAGCGACCATCTAGGGAATTTTGCGTGCTGCGCCCTGGCGAGCTGCGACAAATCATATCCCAGGCGGAGTGAGGAGCTTGAGTAGGATTTTCATCCCAGGAGAACTTCTCACGGTATAGCTTTTGGAGAAAAATCTTTGTCTTGGTAATAACAAGACCGACAAGGCCTACTGGGTCATACAGCCAGGCGACTGAAGAAAAAAAGATAAGTCTTGTGGGCTTTGAGTGACTTTGAGTTGACTGAATTCTTTCAAACGAAAATAGTAAGCAGAATTTCGGCCCATTTTGGAAAAATTTTTTGCTCATCCTCTGCCAACTGATGCATTGACCGAACTGGTAAAAATGGGGCCAGCTTCATTCCATAGGTGGCAGTATCAACTTTAAAAACCTGCAACTCATCCTGGGTGGAATCCCGCCAAAAAATGCACTGTAGATAGCTGTCCTCAGAAAATGTCCTGACGCATCGATGCCGTCGGGTCAGGCAGCAGACTAGTGTTAGGTTTGAATAATAATTATTTAATAATTTACGCATTGTTGGTTGCAAGCCGACTCCTTTTCGGTCACTCGGCTTTAACTAATTTAGCATCTTAAGCTAGGGAGCATCTGCTAGCAGCCCATTATCAAAGGCGGGCGCACTCTCGTTCGTGATCTATTTGCGCTAGCACCTTAAATTGGCGTCCTCTGTATTTTTTCCCAATCTCATCTGCGGCCAAATAAAGATTTTTATAACGTTTCTAAACTAACTATATTCGGATTTTTTATTTATCGTCATTAAAAAATCTCAATGACCAATCAGCTGGCGTACCAGAAGCTGGAAGCGCTCCAAATTTCTACCAAAATTGGTCAAAGAAACTTTATGTTTTTGTAAATTTTATATTTGACTTGTCTCCTTGTTGACCAATAATCAATTTCGGGTGGCAAGAATCGTTTGCTAATCTGTAAATACTGTCAGAGTCATGGAAATGTTAATCTAAGTCAGTGGTCGGCACGGCCCTATCCCGAGGGCATAGGAAATTTCTCTGCCCGAGCTCTACCCCACACACACAGTATAAATGTGTGAAACGTGCTCACAGCTTACTTTCTGCTATTCGTTACTAATACTAATGCGTTAAAATCATATCAATGTACTGGGGTGCCGATCGGCAATCGGTTTATTTATTTATTTATTTATTTTTTTTTTTTCCGGTCTTTCAGAATTTGGAAATGGCTTGTGCATCAATAAGAGCATCAGCTAGCATTCCTGTATTCATCATAAAGCTTAGAGGCCCAGACGACCGAGGGGCGCTCAAGAAACGATTTGTTAGAATATTAAGTTATTTGTTAATTATTAAGCTAAGAGGAGTTAGTAAGGAAATTTAAAATTCTATATTTTAAGTTAGAGGGACAGGAAAGAGATGTAATAGAGTAGAGACCATTGTAGTTCGAACATAATACCCTAAAAGGGTCATGCAGTGCATATGTCGAACTACAACGGCTAAGGAACAGAGGACTAAAGTTTCGAGTCCTTCTATTAGGAATGTTAAAATTTAAGCGTGTTAGTAAATGCTGGCTATCTACATCCCCGTTAATAAGGTTATGCAGGAAGACTACACCGAGCATTGTCCTACGATTTGTTAAGCTAGGTAAGTTTATGAGTAAGAGTCTACTACTATAAGATGGAAGTTGAAGATTTGCATCCCAGTTTAGACCTCTAAGTGAAAAACTTAGGAAATTCTTTTGTACGGATTTTATGCGGTCCTGATGTACTCCATATTGGGGACTCCAGACACATGAACCGTACTCCAGTATAGGACGGACCAAAGAAATGAATTGTGTTTTGGTTATATAGGGGTCATTAAATTCTTTTGACCACCTTTTGATAAAACCAAGGACTCCTTTAGCCTTATTAACCATTAAGGAAATATGGTCGGCAAATTTAACTTTGATGTCTAATAGGATGCCGAGATCATTAACCTGGATTAATTTTTCCAAGGCAATCCCATTAATAGAAAAAGTAGCTTGGAGAGGGCAAGAACGATAAAAAGACATATGTTTGCATTTTGATCCATTAAGTATTAGATCATTAGCTAAACACCATTTTTGAAAGTTATCAAGGTCAGACTGAAGACTGCATTGGGCAGAGATGGATTTGTACTGAAGACAAAGCTTTACATCATCTGCATACATAAGAACTAAAGAGTTCGTTAAAGCAGGGGGCAAGTCGTTTATAAAAAGCGTAAATAATAACGGGCCAAGATGACTTCCTTGAGCGACGCCAGATGTAGCACGGACCAGACGGGACTGTATGTTTTTAAATAAGACTCTTTCTGTCCTTCCTTCGAGGTAACTGGAGATCCATGTTAAGAGGTCTATAGGAAAACCCAGCATATTCAGTTTACTCAACAAGAGTGAGTGATTAACTAAATCAAATGCTTTGCTGAAGTCTGTGTAAATTACATCGGTTTTATATCCCTTACAAAAGCCATCTATGACAAAGGATGTCAACTCCAATAAGTTTGTGGTGGTGGAGCGACGCTTAATAAAGCCATGTAGACAAGGAGTGATAATCGAAGAGCAAAGGTGTTGCAAATGAGGGGTAATTAATTTTTCAAATAACTTTGGAATTGCCGACAACTTAGAGATGCCTCTGTAGTTCGCAGCCTCGGACTTTTTCCCCTTTTTATGTAGGGGAATTATAAATGATTCCTTCCACTTAAGGGGAAAAATCGAGGTTTCCAAAGATAAGTTGAAAAGTCTTAGAAGAGGTTTGCACAGAGCCCTGGCGCAGTATTTTAGCACACAGCCTGGTACTCCGTCGGGGCCTGGCGAATAAATGGATTTTACCCTTAAAATACCAGATAATAAGTTGTTCTCAGAAAAAGACGGACAGAAAATAAGATTTGCTGCTTGAATGTTATATGCATAAGGCTGATCAGTCAATTTAGGAGGAGAATAAGTTGTTTGAAAAAATTCTGCGAATAGATCGGCAATGGCCTGATCCGAAGTCGCAGAGGAATTTTCAAACGTAAGCAGAGGTGAAAAAGATACGTAAAATTCGACCGAGCTAGTAGGTATCTTGAGAAATCAACACAGGTTTTTTTATATTTAAGTAAAAGCTTATTTTTAATATTTTTTAGGTTAGTGAGGCCCCTTGTAAACCAAGGAGGATTTGTTGAAGCGGACGGATATTTCCAAGGCACACATGAGTCAAAAAATGTATTTAAAGTAAAATAAAATTTTTCTAAAGTGACATTAAGATCAGTGCACGCCAGAATATCAGACCAGTCAAATGTATCGATAATGCTATTAAGTTTCTGAAAATTAGCTTTACGGAAACAGCGAATCTTATTTACCACGCTCGGAGACATCTGATCGATACCAGGAGTGGTTTCGATTGAGACCTCCAGCGTGGGGTGATATGGATCCTCTGGGGTTGAAAGGGGAAAAGCTCTGGAGAGAGCAGTACCATCAGGATCAGATACAAAACACAAGTCTAAAAGCCGACGTAGCGAATTTCTAACATGATTAATCTGACCTAGGGACATGTCAAACATGCCCGCGGTGAAGTCATGGTAAGTTATAAGTGACAAAGATGGTGAGTTATCGACGTTGGACCACTTTAATTCTGGGATATTAAAGTCGCCCACCGCTACGAGTTGGTCACGATCCGTCATAAGATTAGAGACGTATCGAATGGCGGACAAATGCTGCCAATATGTAGGCGGTTCAGACATAGGAGGTATATATGAACATGTGATGTATAAAGCTTTAACGGACATAGTGATTTTAACGCAAATAAATTCTATGTCACCAAACTCATGGGATTTCATCTCTTCAGAAGCAAGAGTAGAGTCTACCGAAATGAGGACTCCACCTCCTCTTCGCTGAGATCGATCCCGTCTAAAAGTGGTGTACTTACTTGGAAAAACTTCGGATCTAAAAATCTCCGGATTAAACCAAGTTTCTGTAAATGCTATTATATGGGATGCAAAGAAAGAACTATCAGAATATAGCTTTGGGAGTTTGCTACGTAGCCCCCTAGTATTCTGATAGGTAAGAGTTAATGAGGAAACTAGTTTTTTGGGTTAGTAGCCAAAGAAGAGGTGGAGGGTTGGTCGGTGGTTCCGATATTGGGAAGTCTCACTCCCACTGGTTTTTTAACTTTTTTCTTCACGGAACTAGGCTGATGTTCTTGGACGAAAAGATTCTCTGGCCAAAAACTGGGAGAACAAATCGTCTTGAACATCAGCGCGGGCACACGAATCTTGAAAGAAGACGTGCGCCGTGTATAATTATATTTAAATTTAGTTATGTCCTCCACCTTTATATCGGCTTTTGTTTTGGCTTTGATATAAGCTGAGATATCAATCTCTGAAGTATCAGGGGCAAGCCGAGAAACAAATATATGTT